CAGGTTGGTCTCAAACTCCTGACCTTGTGATCCACCTGCCTCGGCCTCCCAAAGTGCTGGGATTACAGGCATGAGCCACTGCGCCCAGTCTTCTTTTTTTATTTTTTGAGACACAGTCTCACATTGTTGTCCAGGCTGGAGTGCACTGGGGAATGAACACTGCTCACTGCAGCCTTGACCTCCTGGGCTCAAGTGATCCTCCTGCCTCAGCCGCCAAGTAGCTAGGTCTACAGGCTCGTGCCACCATGCCTGGCTAATTTTTGTATTTTTTTGTAGCGATGGGGTTTCGCCATGTTGCCCAGGCTGGCCTCAAACTCCTGAGCTCAAGTGATTCGCCCACCTTTGTCTCCCAAAGTGCTGAGATTACAGGGTCCAAGCGTAGTGGCTCACATCCGTAATCCCAGCACTTTGGGAGGCTGAGATGGGTGGATCACTTGAAGTCAGGAGTTCGAGGCCAGCCTGGCCAACATGGCAAAACCCATCTCTACTAAAAATATTTTTTAAAAATTAGTCAAGCATGGTAGCACACACCTGTAGGCCCAGCTACTTAGGAGGCTGAGGTGGAAGAATTGCTTGAACCCAGGAGGTGGAGGTTGCAGTGAGTTAAGATGGCGCCACTGTACTCCAGCCTGGGTGACAGGGCGAGACTCCGTCTCCAAAAAAAAAAAAAAAAAAAAAAATTAAGTTCTTTTTACATGATCAAAAGTTAGCTACTGTGACTGTTGTATCTTCCTTTGCCAAAAGGGCCAGCAATGCTGGCCACAGATAGATGCTCCACCGATGCTCGGTCATCTCAGTGCTGTGAATGATCAATCCAGGCACCAAGCCAGAGTGGAAGATATTTTTTCAGATGGGTGGGAATTTCAGGCCTTCTTAAAATACTCTACCCTGCATCTTCTTGCTTTTTCTTGGAAAAACATGTAGGAAAGCATGTATAGTTCTAGCCTCAGGTAGAAAACTGACTCAGTGACCTAGAATTGAGACAGAGTCTAGCATCAGATTTTGGGAAGCAGTGAACTTAATAGGTACTGAGGCTTTTTGTCAAGGCATTGAAGGACTATTTCGGTGCATTTTTTTTTTTTTTTTTTGAGACAGAGTCTCGCTTTGTCACCCAGGCTGGAGTATAGTGGTGTAATCTCAGCACACTGCAGCTGCCAACTCTTAGGTTCAAGCCATTCTCCTGCCTCAGCCTCCCGAGTAGCTGGGGTTGCAGGTGCACACATCCACACCTGGCTGATTTTTGTATTTATAGTAAAGATGGGGTTTCACCGTGTTGGCCAGGGTGTTCTCGAACTCCTGACCTCAAGTAATGTGCCCACCTCGGCCTCCCAAAGTGCTGGGATTGCAGATGTGAGCCACTGCGCCTGGCCAGTGCATATTTCAATCAGATCTAAGTAACTTTTATGACTCCAGACACAATCTCACTGTGCTCTCTTTTTTTTCATATGCATAGTGAAAGCAAAGGTTATAAGGTCCCTTTTCACTGTAAAGTGTTAGGCATCTTTGTCGAGGAAGATGGGAAATGACTGTTGTCTCCATTCTCTTCACTTGTCCTTGGACAGAGCTCACTCTACTCTGGATGAGGACCTGGAAAGATGGCTGCAGCCACCTGAGGAGAGCATGGAGCTACAAGACCTTCCCAAGGGCTCTGAAAGGTTATTGTTCCCCAAGAGGGGATCCTTTTCTTCTTTTTCAGGAAGTGGGGCTAGGTTTTAGACTTCTCAGAGAATGAATGCCTGGTGATGGCATTACATTGATTTAGATAAGCTAGCCCTGACTCCATCTGTCTGCACTCACATTTTCCCCTCTTCCTCTGACCACCCACAGTACTGAAGATACTGATTAGCAGATTCTTATCAGTATAGACAGAGGCTTCTAAGTTTGCTGTATCTTGGCCCTGCTATCTTTGACATTTTCATCAGTCATTTGAATTAAATCAGAAAAGGCATGCTTATCAAATTTTTAGATAACACAAAACAAGGAACGAATGCTGATGTGATGAGTGATAGACGGAGGATTCAAAATCATCTTGACAGATGGAAATGTTAGATTCTATAAAAGATAAAGGTCAAAGATTCAAAATTACAGAATGTATGAGACCTGCCCTAATTGGAGAAGTCATCAGAAGCTCCTGCTCACTATAATTTCATTGAGGACAAGAAATATGTCTTATTTTTTTATGCCCAGCACTGAGCCATGCATCTTGAGACATGATGAGAAGTCAAGAAATTCTTCCTGAGGAAGACATGGGCAATGACTTTATGAGCCCTCAGTTTGATGAAGTGCTGAAAACGTCAATGCAGCATTGATGCTGGATATATAGAAATGTACTATCCAGATGATGGGAATGAATTGTTTAGAGGACTCCTAGGACACACGTGGGGCTCCTTTCTGGGTGTCACATTTTAAAAGAGATATTAACAAACACAAGAGTGTGGCCACAGAATAGTCAGAGGTCTGGAAACCATGTCATATGAGAACAGCTGAAGGAGCTGAGAAGCTCAGCGTGAGAAGAGCAGATGGAGAAGGGAATTTGTAGCTGCCCTCAGATTCCTGAAATATTGTGAAGTGAAGAGAGTCGGCTTACTTTTCTGCCCCAGAAGACTGACTAGAGACTAGAAAGTGCAGAGTAACAGATTTTTTTTTTTTTTTTTTTTTTTTGGGACGGAGTTGCTTTTTTTTCCTTGGCTGGAGTGCAATGGCGCGATCTCGGCTCACCGCAATCTCCGCCTCCTGGGTTCAGGCAATTCTCCTGCCTCAGCCTCCTGAGTAGCTGGGATTACAGGCACGCACCACCATGCCCAGCTAATTTTTTGTATTTTTAGTAGAGACGGGGTTTTACCGTGTTGACTAGGATGGTCTCGATCTCTTGACCTCGTGATCCACCCGCCTCGGCCTCCCAAAGTGCTGGGATTACAGGCTTGAGCCACCACGCCCGGCCATAACAGATTTTTATTCAGTAAAGCACAAACCTAATAGCTACAGCTATCTGATAAAGGGAAACAGCTGCCTTTACACTTAACTTTAGCAATGGTTACTGCTGCTCAGGCAGATCATTTGAGGTCAGGAGGACTTCAAGACCAGCCTGGCCAATATGGTGAAACTTCAAATGCCTGTCTTGGGCATTTGAACAGGGGCAGAAGATAACCCAGAGGCTTCCTCCAACTCTTGAGCCTATTAGTGAGAAAATATTAAGAGGGGAAAAATCCCTTTTCACTATAGCAGGTTTTATTTTCTCTCTCATTTTACATATTTTGTTTTGACTATCCATCAAATGAAAACAGAAGAATCCCTAAACAGTGTTATTTTGGTTCAACCAGCATCAACCAAGCACTGACAGTGTGCAAAGCACTATGCTAGGGGTTGGAGGTACCACAAAGAGCGATAAGATGGCTCTGTCTGTAAGGAGCTTCCAGCTGGTTTGAGGAGATGGTTTCTGCTTAGTAGTTTGATAAACATGGTCTTAAATTGTGAGATACTTAAATTACTTACATATTTCACTTAGGAGAGAGTTTTGTGAAATGAAGATAAGATGATAAAATACACAAATACACGATGGTTTTGCAAAGGACACCAATCAAAACATAAGTAAAATGCCTTTTGTTTTTAAGTTTGAGGCAATGTAGCATAGTGGTTGAAAGTAGAATCTAAGCCAGACTGAGTCTGAAGTCAGATTCCAGCTCTAGGAATTATTAGGTATGTAATTTAACTTCTCTGTGCCTCAGTTTCCTCATTGCTTAATGGGGATGGCAATGGTAACTACCTTATATAGTTATGAGAATTAAATGAGCTAAAATAAATTATAGTTCTTAAACCAATGCCTGGCCCACAGAGAACACTTTTGTTAGTGCTAGTTATCATGTTTTTTGTTTTGTTTTGTTTTGTTTTTGAGTACAGTTCTGTTTTCTTGGCTGTTAATGCATATGTTTTCATTCCCTAAATCATTGTTGTTAAAGGGAGACAAATACCAAAGATCAAGAAGTTGGTGAAGAGAAGAGAAAAAGGGAAGATAGCATCACGCCAGAGAGAAGGAAATCAGAGAGTGTTTTAGGGACTTCTGAAGAAGGTGTGAATTAATGAGTGTTTCTAATGTAGTCTGTAGTCCTTGGGCTTTGATGTGCACCAAAGTTATTTAGAAATGTTTCCCAGATGTTATACATAATCCTCCTACCTTTGATAATTTATCTTTCCCTGCAGTTCAGCCCAGGTTTTCTGTTAATTTCCAATCATAGCTTTATCACAAAAACAGTAATAACATCCAATTCTATTTCTAAAGCAAGCTTTTGCCCAGTCTCATCATCATTATCTTGCACATTGTCTGGAGAGATGTTTTGCTTCTAATTGTCCAACATCTTCAAAAGAGTTTTAAATTTAGCTCACAAATCTAAATCTATTGCTGCAAAATCCAATAGGAAATAATATTTTATGAAATTTAAATGGAGTCTACAAGTAATGTGAAAATTATAAATTAACTTTAATTTTAAAACTATTTTGATAGAGCTTGAAGGTTTCTGATATGCCCTTTACAATGATGCTCTCCTATATTTAAGTTCTTCCTACTCAGGGAATTAAGAGATATTAACTCTTTCAGATCATCTGGTATTCCTTTTATCCCTTTCTGATTTCCTTCTCATTCTCCCCATGTCTGCCCTGCTTTGTGCCCCAGAATGCTGGCCCGAGTGGACTGCATCTCCTGGGCTTCCTGTTAGCCAGTGATAGGCCCTAGCAGAAATGATGGGGCTAGAGAGAAGTTGGGGTATTAATTTGCCTTCCTGCTTACTTTAGCACCTTGTGCCTGGTAGAAGTGGTGTTTCTCCACAAGTGTGGCTTCTGTAGGCAGCACATTCTTTCCAATTCCAGCTCTCATTAGGCTCTAGTAACTAACCTCTTATCTCCAACACTCAGTTCCTTCAGACTTAGGCTTCCCAGTGCTGCTGATCACTGGATGTCTTGACATTCCTTGTTTGTTTCCTTAACTCTAACTAAACCTCTATGTAGTTACTTCATTAAGAATCTTTCTTTGAACCAGCCATGAGTACATTCAGTTTCCTTGAGAACCCTGACTGCACAGGGTCCAGAGTGTGTAGGCATTTAGCTATTAATAACATTGATTTCACTGAGAAGATGATACAGGAACTTTGTGAATTAGTGTCATTAGTGTCCATTGCTGCAGCAGAAAACTATAGAATGTTAGGAGGGGAAGCCCATTAACTGTGTTTTTAGAAATATTCTATCTGGCAGAATAGAACAACCATTGTAGGTAAAACAGTCTACCCTAAATTAGAGGGAGCATTAATATGAATACTGGCACCCTTTGACCTAGAAATTAATCATGTGGTTTTTTTCCTTCCTCTTATATTTCATCAAGATGAACTAAAACCCTGCTTTTGGAAGCGACTAGGTTGGTCCGAACCATCCAGGTAATGAGATATCAGATGTTTGCTGATCAAAACTCACAAGAGAAGCAGACTTGAAAACATTTACATGTCTAAATACACATTAACGAGAAAGACTTGAATTCAGACAAAGTTGCTCAATTTTTAAATGTTAGTGTTTATAGTTAATTAAAATGCAAAGTGAGGCTGGGCACGGTGGCTCACACCTGTAATCCCAGCACTTTGGGAGGCTGAGACAGACAGATCATGAGGTCAGGAGATTGAGACCATCCTGGCCAACATGGTGAAACCCCGTCTCTACTAAAATACAAAAAAATTAGCCAGGCGTGGTGGAACATGCCTACAGTCCCAACTACTCAGGAGGCTGAGGCAGGGGAATCACTTGAACCCAGGCGACGGAGGATGCTGTGAGCCGAGATCGTGCCACTACAGTCTGGGCAACAGAGCAAGACTCCGTCTCAAAAAAAAAAACAAAGTGAAATTAATGCCAACTTTGATTAAATAAGTGATAGCGTGAGCATAAGAACAGTTTTAATACGGAGAGAATACAGAAGATGCTGCTGTCAATTGCTTTCCAGTCATTTTGCATTTCCATGACACGCTGTTGGTTTTAATCCCCCTTGATTATAAAGACCAAAATCCCTTTTCCTTAAATTTAATTGAATAGAAAGAGGATGTGGTTTGTGTTTTTAAAAAATATACACAGCAACTCAAAACTTTCTTTTTCGTTCTTTAAAAAACATGTGCATAGGATAATCGTGCTGGATCAGAGTGACTTGTCAGACTGACTGGAATTGGATCGTAGATGGACTCCTGGCTTGAGTTTGAGTGTCCTGGTTGTGAGCTCCTTTCTTCTCTTTCTGCTTCGGTTACTTTCAGGGCAGCAGTTACAGTTCTATAAGTTTCACTTTGTTCAGCTGCCACAATAGACATCATCATTTGGCCTTCTTTGTTAGCAGCACATTCAACCATTTGTTTTCAGTCAGATTTCTGAAAAGTACGAGGTAGTTTTGATTGTAAAAATTTTTGGTTGTGCCTAGAATGGCTTTGGTTTTGTTGATGTTAATTTTCAAAAACTTCAACTCTTGTTATATAATAAAATGTTTACTTTTAATAACAGGTTTCAGCTGTGTAAGATATATTTCTGAGTTTAGTTATTGGGAGTTGGGGGGAGAACTGCCATCCAAAGAGGCTTCAGTTTCTGACAAATATGCAGCTATTGCTGCTACCCATTATACATACTGGTACTAGTCATCTGTGTCTCATAACAGAACTACAGCCCATCCACCTGGCTGAAATTGCTATTTTCCCATTCCAGCTAGAATTGGCTCACACCATCAATGTACAGGTAGTGGCCAGATGTGGTAGCTCAAGTCTATAATCCGAGCACTTTGGGAGGCCAAGGCGGGAGGATTGCTTGAGCCCAGGAATTTGAGGCTGGCCTAGGTAACATAGGGAGACCCTGTCTCTATAAAAAGTTTAAAACTTGGCTGCGTGTGGTGGCTAATGCCTGTAATTCCAGCACTTTGGGAGGCCGAGGTGGATGGATCATGAGGTCAAGAGATTGAGACCATCCTGGCCAACATGGTGAAAACCTGTTTAGCTGGGTGTGATGGTGCACACCTGTCAGGAGGCTGAGGCAGGAGAATCGCTTGAACCTGGGATCAAGCCACTGCACTCCAGCCTGGTGACAGAGTGAGACTCCGTCTGAAAAAAAAAAAATTTAAAAATTAGCCAGACATGGTGGTGCATGCCTATAGTCCTAGCTACTTCCAAGGCTGAGGCAGGATGATCACTTGAGCCTAGGGCATTGAGGATGCTGTGAGCCGTGATTACACCACTGCACTATAGCCTGGGTGCAGAGTGAGACCCTGTCTCAAAAAAAAAACCCAGTAAGTACAGGTAGCAATAAAGTCCTAAGATAGTTTGAACTCATTAAGATGAACAAACATTATCTCCCATATATGTTGTATTGTACCACTAAGATCATAGTATTGTTTCTAATTTAGCTTCTTGTGATGACTGACCAGATACATTTGTGCAATTTTTTTTTCCCATTTATTTATTTTATTGCATTTTAGGTTTTGGGGTACATGTGAAGAACATGCAAAATTGTTGCATAGGAACACACGTGGCAGTGTGATTTGCTGCCTTCCTCCCCAT